ACACACACACACACACACACACACACACACGCATACACACACACACACACACACACACACACGCGCGCACGCGCGCAAGAAGATAGATATGACAAAGTACACAAGTCCTCTCACCGACAGACAGCAACAAGACACCACTGACATGTTTCCAGCTCGTTGTCACAAACCCGCAGTAGACAAAAAATCCAGAAGTAAAAGAGAAAGCAATGACGGCGGTAAGTGACAAGGATCCTGTGACATGAGGACGCGGGAACCACAGACTGGGATGACCCAGATACGACCACAGCCTGTCTCGCCCTGTCTCGCCCTGTCTCGTCCTGTCTCTTTCTGTCTCGTTCTGTCTCGCCCTGTCTCGTCCTGTCTCGCCCTGTCCCTCCTGTCTCGTTCTGTCTCGTCCTGTCTCGCCCTGTCTCGCCCTGTCTCGCCCTGTCTCGTCCTGTCTCGCCCTGTCTTGCCCTGTCTCGCCCTGTCTCGTCCTGTCTCGCCCTGTCTCGTCTTGTCATGTCAGCCACACTGACAGCAGCTCTCCCAGGGAGCCGACACTCCTACAGCCAGCTGACAAGCCAAATCGCCTTTTCCGATATTTGATTGAGTTACTGCTGACGTTTTTGTCGGCCACTTGCAGCACAATTAGGTCATTGAAGGGCCGGAGATTAGAGGCGTTACTGGAGGGTGACGAGACATGTGTGAGGGAAAGAAGGAGGATATAAGATATGATGACGGTAGATGTTTGATAGGAAAGAAGGAAGAGGGAGGAGATATGATGACAGTAGATGTTTGATAGGAAAGAAGGAGGATATAAGATATGATGACGGTAGATGTTTGATAGGAAAGAAGGAGGATATAAGATATGATGACGGTAGATGTTTGATAGGAAAGAAGGAAGAGGGAGGAGATATGATGACAGTAGATGTTTGATAGGAAAGAAGGAGGATATAAGATATGATGACGGTAGATGTTTGATAGGAAAGAAGGAAGAGGGAGGAGATATGATGACAGTAGATGTTTGATAGGAAAGAAGGAGGATATAAGATATGATGACGGTAGATGTTTGGAAGAGCTCATTCACTTTCCTCTGACTGAGGTTAAAACGGGATAACAACAAATCGCTGTGATGAATCTTTCTGGGTCTTTGCTTGCGGGTCGACATCAAGTTAAGCGAACACCAGAATCTAAAAGCCC